TCCAAAGAGAAAGGAAAAATTTAAATCGCATCATATGACCCCTTTAAGTAAAAAAACTCACATGTCTCCTTTCAACATGTCCATACAGGAAGCATACTGGAAATATATGAGGTCCCCACAGGAAGAGAAGTGTGGAGAGAGCTTTTGTACGGTCCATTCAGACATGTAATGTGGTCTATTTTTAGCCCAGAGTGTGACAACCTCTCCATAATAAAGTTAAAAAATGCATGCTCTGTGTATGTGTTTTAGAAAGTGTGCTCTGAATTGAAACAGTCTGTTTGGACTCCCTTTTGTGTATACAGTCACATGTGAGTGAAGGTGGGTTGTATATTTATCTGATTGGTTATTCAGGTCATCTTGCTGTAACGTTGAATGGATTTGAACAGTTTGCGGTTTGTTTCCGTGTCTTGTTTCCGTATGTCATGTTTATCAGCATGTTCATAATGACTGTCTTCTGTTTCTCTCATGTCATACAAAGTTCAGTGCATATTCATAGCTGCTTTATCGCTAACACCACATTGCTGAGTGACGAGGGACAGATTGCTGTGTCTGAAATGTAATATACCTATAGTGACAGCGTGTTTCCTCTGTGAAAGAGAGGCACTGGATATAGACCTGCATTCAGGCGCTGTTTTGGAAGTGTTCAGGCATGCTGGGAGTTCGTATTATGTTATGCTGTAGCTTTAACATGGCTATAGGGCATTGCAGCATTACGTAACCTGGCTCTTCATCTTCTCATGAGTCAGTGCTGTGAGGAACAAGCGTTATAGTGTTGGTTTGTTGCAATGATCAAAGTCTCTATTATCTTGAGTAGTTTTTAAGAATTCATTTTTATGAATGAATCCAGGTTCTTCACCAAGCTGTACTAGAAGTTATAAATATGGTGATAGATAAATATTTGATGGGAAACATTCAGAGTTTGGTCATTATTTTATTTTATTTTTTAGAATCATACATGACTTATTGATTCATCATTAGGCTAGTGCCAAAAAATGCTGCAATATCCTCCACAAAATAATCTCCATAGAATTAAACCCCATGTGTCAGAATATTTGGATGGTTGTAGTTCCATGCACATGGTCATGCTTTTCTTCTCGGCTTGTGGCCAGTCCTGAATAAAATCCAAAGAATTCCATAAGAATCTCTGCAGACTTCATGATTTTTACTGCTGTTGTTTTCGAAGTTCTACACATCTCTGCATCTTATATTTGTTTTTAAATTCAATATTTTTTTGATAATCAGTTTAATTGAAATCCATTCCATGTAATTCTTTGTCCTCCACCATCAGCACAGAAAAAGTATGCAGATTCTGTATGGATCTTATGGCTGACCAAGGGTTGTGTGTATAGTGAAACCAGCTTCTTTCCCATGCTCTTGAGGAGTCAGTCTCCTCAGTTGTAACTACACGAGGGCTTTAAACAGGTTAGTTCGCACCGATACATAACACAGCTGGGTTCACATGATATTCAGTGTAACCCAAGCTTTGCCGCTGAGGTTCTCTGATATCATATACATGCCGAGGTTCTCGGCTTTCAGGGGCTAACAGAATTAAAGCCGCATGAGGACAACCAGCAAAAAAACAAAAAAATCTATATTTGTCCTATGAGGGTCAATTTCTGCATACCCTGCAATAAAAAAAAACTGTTTTTCTTTCCTTAATTCAGCAACCTTTGTTAAATGAGCTGTACTTTGAACGTCAATGTATTTCAGTGTCGTATTTGTTTACCCGACCGCTGCCTTGCAAAAAAGTTCAACCCTTTGAAGCATTAGTGTCGTGTCATAGAGTAATAAAGAGAGGAAACGGGTAACCAGATCCTTCTGCCTTAGCAGTGCATTCACACACCTTTCCAGTATTCAAAGCCAATGCGACAGCTGACATGTGTACAGCAATTTACAGGACAAAATACTTCATGACTTTAAAATCCATTTGTTTAATATGAAAACATGAAGTCTTTGTACACTTCATATGGTAATAGGCCTATCTGCATTGCTTTAGAATCACCTGACGGAGATAACTGATTTATAAATGTTAGTCAAAACCACGATCATATTTTGTGCATGTTTTGCGCAGCTTGTCAGTGAACAACGGCTCTCTGTAGTAAATGCTGCTTCATGTGAAAGCCCGCACGTGATGGAGATTTACCGCTGATTACAGAACCGGCTTTACTGACAAGATGCGCGTTAAATATCGCATGCGATTTATCGTGCAGCCCTGATTGCTATCCAATCAGGGAATTTTAAGTCAATCTAACAGACTAATATTTACAGCAATAGAAATCTTGTTATTACTATTATTATTATTATTAGTAGTAGTAGTAGTATTGCTATTAAGTATATAATTTAACATGTTACACAATAAAACAAAGACTTCATTTAAACTAGTATTATATTATATTATACATTTTGTCATTTTAATAAATGTCTGTGTATTAAGCTTACACTGCAAGGGCTTTTTAATTGTAATTATTTGTATTGCAATCAGTTGTCAGCTAAAATTTCATTGTTATGACAGCCCTACATGTAAGGCAGATATCATTATATCACGTCTTGTGGCTTTGTGACACTACTGAGGCTTTTAGTGGCTGGCTGCTGTGTTGAGCCGATTGCTGGCGCAGCAGTTTCAGAGCGGTGACATCAGGAGCGTGTTTTCACAGCACACTAAAGCTGGAACCGAGTGAAAGGGCCCTCACACTAACCCTTCACCTACCTTCCCTTTCACCGGCTTTCTGTGAGGTGGAGATTTCATCTAGACCACATCTTAGCAGTGTGTGTGAGTCTGAATTCGTTTAATGGGAGTGTGTGTGTGTGTACATGTCCTTGGCCTTGACAAACTGCTAATTTGTGATATTTTAGATGTTCTATTTCAGTGGCTGACAGTTAACTGTGGCCACTTTCAGTTGCCCGATTGAAAAACAGTATAAATGTGATTCTTTTGATGGGTCTGTTTTATGTATTCCAAAATTTTTTTTTGATTACTCAGCATTCTTTTTTCTCTTCACGTGTTTAGAATGTCTTGCTTTAAAAATATTATTTCGGAGAGGTCTCCTGCACACTGTTGCCGAAATATTTGGTCATCAGCATTTCTGGGCTTTTTTCCGTTTTGTTGGCCAATGTCAATGAGATCTGGTCTTTGTCAGCCTGTGTCGAAGAATGCGACATTCTGAGAGACGCATTTGTGAGACTCTTTCTCACCATTTAAATGCAAAGTAAACTGTGGTTGGTTGCTTTACATGTCAGGAGGTCTCTTCCTGTATGAATGGTCAGTTCTTGACCAAAATAAGCTCTAAAGAGGAACAGGCTGACAAAGGTTTGGCGATGCAAGACTATTTCACACCTGATTAGGACTTGGTGTCAGCAATAGTTTTTGTTATTCATGCAGCACTGTGGTTGGTTTATCATGTCTGGGGTGTCTCTTTCACAGTAGAATGCATGAACTTCCAATATTACAGCATCTCCTCTTTGGGTTTCTGTGCGTTCATCAGACTTCTTGTGGTCACTGACTCCGAGATAAGGGCATGGGGCATTCTCAGCTCTTTCTGATGCCAAGTCTTTATTAAAGCTTCTAGGTCCTTTAGGCTATGTGAAATTTTCCAGACAAGGTTTTGGCAGCCCACTCTGTGTTGATGAAAGGTGTTAACTTTTAATGGCAATGGCAATTTTATTTATATAGCACTATTTAGTACAACCAGAGTTGACCAATGTGCTTTACAATAGAATAATTAAAAACTGCAATAACACAATGAAAAGTAAAAAGCAGTAAAACCAAGAGGAAGGGGAAAAAAAACATCATAACATGCAACAAAAACATAGGACAAGGATAAAGAGTGCTAAACCAGAATTTAAAGCCTTATCGAACAGATAGGATTTTAATTTAGACTTAAAAATAACCACAGACGAAGCCATTCTAATAAAAGTGGGCAGATCATTCCAGAGTCTTGGGGCAATTGTAGCAAAAGCGCAATCACCCCTGCACTTCCGCCTTCGTCTTGGGGTTTTAAAACCTGTTTTATAGACCTGTTTTACACAGTATGTTTTACATGGCTGCATTATATCATGTTCTTGCCCTGTAGAAACATAAAGTGATATCTTAAATTCCTCATGAAATCAAAATTGACTCCATTTACTTTGTTTTAGTGCACATTGCAAATCTTAAGGTGAACAATTAATCTGTGCAAGTTAATCGACAAAATAAATAAATAAATACATGTTTGTCTTGGTAATCTTTAATCAAAATCTGAACATTTGCTTCCCCTCTGAAATGGCATTCCTTCTGTGATGTCAGTTTGATGACTTGCACAGAATATCCTTAACCACGTCCCTCCAACCTTTAGGTTGCTGTGAGTGAGATGGAGACGAGGAGCACTAAAATAAAACCCTGCCCTCGATTCAATATTCCGTTTGAAAATACGTCACTATACTGACATTAAGTAGGCAGCAACTTAATCCTGTAGCAATGCTTGTTTTATTCCGAGAGTTTAATTAAAATTGGGTAATTTATCACAGACTAGACTTTTGTTCCTACCTCCCTGTTTAGATCCATAAAACTGAAATTAAAGTTTGTCTGATTAGTTTTTTCCTCTGATATCGTTTCTGCAGATTATAGGATAGTGAGGTATGCTTGTTTAAATAGTTTGTTTCTGAAACTAAACCAGGAAGCTTCCATATCTCTCCTTTCTGTTAAAGCCATGCTTTGTGGAAATGTTATTTAAATGTTATCATCTCTTTACCACTGAAGAAAATCTAATAAGAAGGCCTAGATGCTATCTGCAGATTTTCATCGCATTTTCTGCACTTATTTTTAGGCAAAGTTGTCTGAAATGGTTTAAAAAAAGTGATGTGCTCTCATTGATAATTAATAATAACATTTTTTCAAAATAAGCCAAAATATTGAATAAACAATTATTTTTTACTTATGCATAGTTTTGTGTATTTCCACATGTGCCACAGTGATGTACTGTATATATAAAATATTTCATACATTTTTTTCTTTCTTCATTCAGGATGAAAATGACCTATGGCGGAAGTTGAATCGCAAACAGAGAGACTCTGAGTAAGCTGGACGAAGCCTGTCCCATAATCCCCGCTCGTCGGGTCAAGGGACCATGGGAGATGGAGGCGTCAATGCGGTGGGAGAAGGGGTGAATCAGTCCCATGTGCTCTTTGACCGCTTCGTCCAGGCCACCACCTGCAAAGGCACTCTCAAGGCTTTTCAAGAGCTTTGTGACTTCCTGGAACTCAAGCCCAATGAATACCGTGTGTTCTACCACAAACTCAAGTCCAAGCTCAACTACTGGAAAGCCAAAGCTCTCTGGGCCAAGTTAGACAAGCGCGCCAGCCACAAAGAATACAAAAAAGGAAGGGCCTGTGCCAACACCAAAGTATGAAAGTTTCCCTGGGGTGAAAGAGAGTGTTTTGGTTATTAGTTCTCAAACTTGCAATGTTCTGGTATTGCTTAAAATAGATTCTTTATGGACTTTGTGGCTTGATAATTAGGTTTTTACTCCTTATGAATTGTTTCTCAGTGTCTGATCATTGGAGCTGGACCATGTGGTTTGCGTACAGCCATAGAGCTGGGCTTCCTTGGAGCCAAGGTGGTTTTGTTGGAAAAGAGGGATGCATTCTCCCGAAACAATGTGCTCCATCTTTGGCCTTTCACCATTCAGGATCTGAGGGGTCTTGGAGCCAAGAAGTTCTACGGCAAGTTTTGTGCTGGAGCCATCGACCATATCAGTAAGTAGTATATCAAACTATTTTTCTTTTAGAGAGAAATTAACTTTGACATTCAGACATCCATTACGCATGACAGCTACTGGACAGCACTAAACGTAGATGGGTTAGACACATTGGAGACTTTCAACAATTACTCAAACCACCTTCCGAGGTGTTCAAGGACTCCTAGGAAGTGTAGTGTAAATACTAATGCATTCTGATTCATCCCAGACGTTAAATAGCTGCCCACTCATGTAATCATTGTGGGATGTGTTGTGGAAAACCTGCCAAAACAAGGTCTTTAAACTTTGCCAGCAAGATAGAACCGGTTTGGCCAAGAAGAAAATAAATTGGACTTGTAAAAGTGATGTATCTAATCAGAGGAACTTTTCTAGAACGTCTTGTCCACGTTTTGAGTCAGATTTTAATACCATGTGTAAATGGAGTCTCAGATGTTTTTGTTTTTGTAATCTCTTACTGCAGGTATTCGTCAGTTGCAGCTGATGCTCTTGAAGGTAGCTCTTCTCCTTGGCATCGAGATTCACGTCAACGTGGAGTTCAAAGGCCTCGTTGAGCCACCAGAAGACCAAGAGAATGAGAGTAAGATCAGTTTCTCACGTCCTTTCCATGCTAAAGTTCAGCAGTTCCATTCGTTTGTTTCCATTTCCACATAAATACCAGTCGTTCTAAAGAGCCTAGGCATATCCTGAACGGATACCAAGTCTTGCGGAGAAAGGACTTGTCTGTCAGCGCTGAACATGCTGTTGGTTTTTCCAGGAATTGGGTGGAGAGCCGAGGTCCACCCCAGAACACATCCAGTCAATGAGCTAGAGTTCGACGTCATAATTGGGGCTGATGGGAGGAGAAACACGCTGTCAGGTAAGAATATAGCACTTCATATAAAATCATAATTGAGAATGTCCTCTCTTTGAATCTTTAGTTCTTGTCTAGACAGGAACAAAAATAATTAGTGGTGCTTGCCTTGGGATTTGAACAAACCTCAGTGTGTAACTTGTCCTGCAGACATGAATGATATCTCAAATCATGCTGCTTATTCAGCAGAGGTGTGCTTATACTTGAATGAATAAACTTGGCAAATCAAAAATGGGTGAAAAATCTTGTAGACTTGCACTAACATTCAAATGTTTGTAGGATGTTTTTAAGATTTTTAAATGGTTTTGAAAGAAATCTCTTATCCTCACCAAGGCAGAATTTATAAAAATTGTGTAATATTATTACAATTAAAATACTGTTTTCTTTTTTATTTCCTTATTTTTGGAAATGTAATTTATTTCTGTGATGCACAGCGTGAGTGTTCAGGATCCATTACTCCAGCCTTCAGTGTCACATGATCCTTCAGAAATCATACTAATATGCGTATTTGGTGCATTAGATACATTTTCATGATTCTTTAAATAGAACGTTGAAATGCTTTTATCATATAAATATAATTTGTAACAATGTAAAATTCTTTATTGTCACTTTTACGTTTACATTTACATTTAGTAGATGCTTTTATCCAAAGTAACATACAAATGAGGACAATAGAAGCAATCAAAACCAACAAAAGAGCAATAATATGCAAGTGCTATGACAAGTCTCGGCTAAAAAAAATGGATAAAATAAAATTAGATTAGAGAGTGCTAGTGTTAGAGGGTCAAATAAAGATGGAAGAGATGTGTTTTTATCTGTTTCTTGAAGATGGCTAAGGACTCAGCTGCTCGAAGTGAGTTGGGCAGGTCATTCCACCAGGAGGGAACATTTACTGTTCCCTCCTGGCGGAATGACCTCTAGTGATTTTGTGCCTCTTTGGGATGGCACAATAATACGCCCTTCACTTGCAGAACGCAAGCTTCTGGGCACATCAGTCTGAAGTAGTGAATTTAGGTAAAGGGGTGGTTTTGTAGGCAAACATCAATGCCTTAAATTTTATGCGAGCAGCTATTGGTCAGCCAGTGCAAACTGATGAACAGAGGTGTGAGGTGTCACTTTTGATCAGTTTAATGTGTCCTTAGCTGCTGAATTAAAAAAAAAAACTTTACTGAAAGGTGTAGTGTACATTTAAAGATGACACACAAATCTTATCAATGATTTTCTGGTCACTAGATATGCATAGGACGGATTTTGACTAAAACACTAACAACTAAAAACACTAACAACTGCATAGCAGCACATTCAAAACACTCAATGTCTTCGCAACAAACTGGCAACCACCTAGTAAAATGGTGGTGGGTTTTGCATCACTCACATTTTCTTCAAATATGTAAAAAATCTAGTTTTTAGTCATTGGAAATCTCACTGATCTGTCGTTGATCTGCATAAACATTTTGGCGTTCATACTTATGAATGTCTATGCTGTCTCTCCAGGTTTCAGGAGGAAGGAGTTTAGGGGCAAATTGGCTATTGCTATCACAGCTAACTTCATTAACCGCAACACAACTGCAGAAGCAAAGGTGGAGGAGATCAGTGGAGTAGCCTTCATCTTCAACCAGAAGTTCTTCCAGGACCTTAGAGAAGCCACAGGTACAATAAGCACTCTTATTGAATATATAGGTCTGATTTTGATGTAAGAACAGCAGCTACAGCTCATAGCTAACAGAAGAACTCTTGTTATACTTTTAGAGAAGCTCTTGTGGTACTTCTAGAAGATCCAGCAGTGTAGGAAACAAATACTTGAAGAATCTCGTATTGAAGAGCTGTCCCTGTGCTTTGTGCTGAGTTGGCAGACTTTGTTGCTGTTTTCTGAGTTGTATAATCACTGTTATTCTTCTCTCTCTCTGTCCTGTTGATGGAGGGAGTGGGCGCATTATCCACCGCACAGATGGAACTTAATTACATCTGCGAACGGATGCAAACAACTTCCTCTTTCTATCTCTGTCCCCCTCTTTTTCCCCCCTTGACATGCTGTCTGTCACATCTCCACTTCAATCTCTTCCTCCCGCTCGCTCATTTAGTCTTTTTCTCTTTTGGTTTGCCTCCACAGGAATTGACCTGGAAAACATTGTCTACTATAAGGATGACACACACTACTTTGTAATGACTGCCAAAAAGCAGAGCCTGCTGGAGAAGGGCGTCATTCTACATGTGAGTGATCAAAGAGTTTGACTAGCGCAGTTTTCTAACTAATCTCCACTCTTTTATTTTCACTTCTCCCTCCCTCTTTATCTCTTTCTCTTCCTGTTTGCCTTTCTCTGTCCCTTAGAAAAGTACTAGCACACCTCTGCTCAAGGCAGATGATTAGAAATGCAATACAAACTTGAATTGAAAAAAACAAGCATGAACAGAAGCTTGTTTTAGCTGGCCTGGTTTGTCTGTTTTAGATGGATTTTGACACTTTTCAACTGGTTAGGCAGGGCAGCCAGCTGACCAACCAGCTGAAACCAGATGCACACTAGCTTGGTGAGGCTGGGGGAAGATCTTAAACAATCTAAAACCAGCAGAAACATCTGGTTTTAGGTGTCTTATTCATTCAGGAATTAAGTAAATGGCTCTCTTTATGAAAGGGCCTTTGAATCATTAATTCACCCGATTCGTTCAAAACGAGGATTCATTCAGAAACTAACCGCTTTGTTGCTCGGAGACGTACAACAATTCTGCTGTGGCTTTAGGTAATATTTTTGTTGGCAAAACTGAGCAAAAACAGACAATATTGTGTTTAAAACATAAAATATTAACTTCTTATTTACTGAACTGTTGTATAAAATCACATTTCAATCACAAAATCAGCACTCGTCTGATATTACTCTAGCTGCTGGTGTGATATCGCTTATCGTATGGTATAAATATGAGACAAAAACTCATACAGGGGCATTTTTGCACCAATATCTTTAATTTTAGGGCATAACTGCATTTGAGTTGTTGCCCTGCATCATATTTGTCAACAGTCGACTGTATGAAATGTAAGATGACGAACAGGTCTGGGGGCGGGGCCAGTGCGTTAACTGCGTTAAAATATTTTAATCGCGTTATTTTTTTTATAACTAATTAATTAAGTTAACGCGTTAAACTGACAGCCCTAGTTTATATATTTTGCCTGCGAGTACCCTCCGCGCACCCCAGTTTGAGAACCACTGGTCTAGAGCAACCTACCGTGATCAGACGCTCCATCAGCTCCATCCGCATACAGCTTCCCCTTCAGATCCCTCACTGCGCTCTCAAAATCCTCATCTGAAAACAGCGGTGTGAATCTGAGGTTAGTCCTTTCTCACAGTGACACAAAACACTTCAATCAGAAGATGTGAATACTGTTAAAGATTTAACAATGACAGTGTACAGAAGTGCAGCTCTGATGAACTAAACTGGACTTCGGTCATATGTTTTACCGTTAAATAGCGTGTGGATCTTACCATCGCCGTCATCGTCGCTGACGTATCCTGGACGGTTTTTGTAACAGAAGAACGTAGGAGGAAGCATCAGACTGGCAGCCAGCTCTGCTTGCTCTATTGATGGTTTAAGCTCAAATACGATCTCGATATCATCATCACACACGTCCTGAGCGCTGCTCTTCTGCTCTGACGGAGAGGAAACTGAGCAATAAACAAACAGAAACTAGATTAACTAAAGCAACAACAACTGCTAAACAGATAGTTCATCCCAACACGGAAACTGCTGTCATCTACTCGCTCTCAGGCAAATGTGATGGTTTCAGTCACTGGGGTCCGAGCAACATTAGTCCCATTGACTTTATTCTGTACTGGGACACACAAACCCTGAGATGATCTCAGTTTGTGTTCCACAGAAGGAATGAAGTCTGGACTGAGTTTTCTTGTTTGGTGAACTATCTCTTGAAGAAGCGCTTTCAAAAGCAATCGGAGTCATTTCAAACCAACAAGTGTCAAAGCATGTAGCAGACTAAAGTACTCTGACCGTTTCATTGTCAACACACTTCACAGCCAACGTTAAATCAGTAACCGGCGCCCGGGGAGCAGTTGGGGGTTCGGTGCCTTGCTCAAAGGTCTCACATCAGTCGTTGTATTGAGGGTGGAGGAGAGCGCTGGTTATTCACCCCCCCACCGACAATTTAACCATTAGGCCACGACTGCCCAAGACGCACAACAATTCTGCTGTGGCTTTTTTAGGTAATATTTTAGTTGGCCAAACTGAGCCAAAACACACAATATTGTGTTTAAAATATAACACAATATTAACTTCTTATTTACTGAACTGTTGTATAAAATCACATTTCAATCACAAAATCAGCACTCGTCTGATATTACTCTAGCTGCTGGTGTGATATCGCTTATCGTATGGTATAAATATGAGACAAAAACTCATACAGGGGCATTTTTGCACCAATATCTTTAATTTTAGGGCATAACTGCATTTGAGTTGTTGCCCTGCATCATATTTGTCAACAGTCGACTGTATGAAATGTAAGATGACGAACAGGTCTGGGGGCGGGGCCAGTGCGTTAACTGCGTTAAAATATTTTAATCGCGTTACTTTTTCATAACCTAATTAATTAAGTTAACGCGTTAAACTGACAGCCCTAGTTTATATATTTTGCCTGCGAGTACCCTCCGCGCACCCCAGTTTGAGAACCACTGGTCTAGAGCAACCTACCGTGATCAGACGCTCCATCAGCTCCATCCGCATACAGCTTCCCCTTCAGATCCCTCACTGCGCTCTCAAAATCCTCATCTGAAAACAGCGGTGTGAATCTGAGGTTAGTCCTTTCTCACAGTGACACAAAACACTTCAATCAGAAGATGTGAATACTGTTAAAGATTTAACAATGACAGTGTACAGAAGTGCAGCTCTGATGAACTAAACTGGACTTCGGTCATATGTTTTACCGTTAAATAGCGTGTGGATCTTACCATCGCCGTCATCGTCGCTGACGTATCCTGGACGGTTTTTGTAACAGAAGAACGTAGGAGGAAGCATCAGACTGGCAGCCAGCTCTGCTTGCTCTATTGATGGTTTAAGCTCAAATACGATCTCGATATCATCATCACACACGTCCTGAGCGCTGCTCTTCTGCTCTGACGGAGAGGAAACTGAGCAATAAACAAACAGAAACTAGATTAACTAAAGCAACAACAACTGCTAAACAGATAGTTCATCCCAACACGGAAACTGCTGTCATCTACTCGCTCTCAGGCAAATGTGATGGTTTCAGTCACTGGGGTCCGAGCAACATTAGTCCCATTGACTTTATTCTGTACTGGGACACACAAACCCTGAGATGATCTCAGTTTGTGTTCCACAGAAGGAATGAAGTCTGGACTGAGTTTTCTTGTTTGGTGAACTATCTCTTGAAGAAGCGCTTTCAAAAGCAATCGGAGTCATTTCAAACCAACAAGTGTCAAAGCATGTAGCAGACTAAAGTACTCTGACCGTTTCATTGTCAACACACTTCACAGCCAACGTTAAATCAGTAACTCCACAAAGACACACACATGCAAACACTCATCAAACCTACAGCCGTCATACGTCACTCACACTCATCAGTCAGCTCCTCACACATCAGTACGGACTCTCTCACGATGAGCCACATTTAAATACAAAGGGAAAACAAGAGTTGAGTGACATGCTGATGGGGAAAATGAGTGAACGATGACTTTGGTTTCCAATATATTTACTTGTGCTGCCAAATCATTTACTGCAATATACAGGACAAAAGTCCATACACCACAAACGCTTCTCGCTGCATCTCTTTCAGGTTGCTCATACTGAAACCATTGTGTGCCATCAAGATCACACGAAGTTTGTGATTCAGATCGTGGATTGTGATTGTGCGTCACAAGATCGTGATATTTTGGGAAGATCACCCATCCCCTATAGATGAATCCTTCACAATAACATCTAGTACATGCATTTAGAAAACAAATAGAAGGAACTTCCATTTAGTGTCAAATCTAACAAAAATATTCTGTTTCTAGTTACGTAAAATAAGCTCATGTGACGCGTGCTGTGATTCACTGGAAAGAGCGGGAGAGATCCCTGCTCTCGTTTAGTGTCTTCCCCCTTATTTCAAAGCAGCGTGTGAATGTGGTCTCAAAAAAAAGTTTTCAGGATAAATATTCAGCGCAAATATCAACAATTATTTTTAATTAAATGACCTCGGCATTGCTAGCGCCATGATGATCTACTGTTTGAGCTCACGCAAGCCCCTTACAAAGCAACAAAACAAGCGTGTTACTCTTTGAACTGTCCACCTGCCACAGCTTCTTCAGCAGAAACTCAGCATTTCTTCCATTTAATTAATCTGAAACTATGTAGATGAAGAAACAAACTTCTGTCAGTGACTGAAAAACACATCTTAAAGCCCTATTCGCATGGGTTAGTATTATCTGTTACATTGTATATAAATGATTTGCCAGAGGCATGTAAAAATGTTGATGTTCAGATGTATGCAGATGATGCTGTAATCTTTACATATGCTAAGAACTACCAAGAGATAGCATCCACACTTACATCTGCAATGGCTCACATTGATGACTGGCTTACTAAGTCATGTCTCTACCTAATAAAATTATATAAAAAATGTTATTTATTTAAAATTTAAACTCAAGAAAGAAAATTACGATTGCTTGATTGAATCATCATGAGTTTTTTTTTTTTTTTGCTTTTATACCCGTCTTATTTATCTTTTTTTTTATCATCAGCTTCCTAAGCTGGACTTTGCCATCAACCATTACGGCCAGCCTGACGTCGCCATGTTTGACTTCACATGTATGTACGCCTCAGAGAACGCAGCGCTCGTCCGCCAGCGCAACGCCCATAAGCTACTAGTAGCCCTGGTGGGGGACAGCCTTCTAGAGGTGAGTGGAAAACCGATGTGGAGGAGGGAAATAAGACAGTTCATGTAAGGGAGTTTGTTATTTGTTAAAACTTCCTTTAATAGAACCAGATGGTGTTTTTCCATGAAGTACCACAAAATTGGCTTTTGCTGTTCTCCAACATCTTCCTTCAACAAATTTCAACTTCTGAAAATACATTTTCTCACATAAATCTGAAACCACCACTTCAGAAGCTGTGGTAATGAAAGTATTAAGTTAAAACACCACACTCAGTTACACTAGCTAGCCCGCGACTGTGAGGGCAGTTTTTCCATCTTCTTCCAAACAGAAGGTGACTGATTTCTAATATGAAGTGTACAGCTGTTCATTCTCACTCTTAGTGTATTAGGAACAAGTTGACTGATGAATATGTCTTTTGTGTGTGTGTGTGTGTGTGTGTGTATAGCCATTCTGGCCGATGGGCACTGGAATAGCAAGAGGCTTCTTGGCAGCCATGGATGCAGCGTGGATGGTGCGGAGTTGGGCTCATGGAAGCTCCCCTTTGGAGGTGCTGGCTGAACGGTAAGACATACTATGCACAGAATGGAATGCTGTTTGTTTTTTAAAATAGTGCATAAGATACAGTATGCAATAATAAGGCTTTCAAAAACATGGTGGTTGTTTTCACATGTGATATTGAACATATGATAATGGAAATAAATGCAATTGTTTTGCATTTTAATCTGATTTGTGTCTGAATATTTAAACTTTTGGCATACTGTAAAAATAATATGAATAATATGATGTTATTCCAAACACATCTAGAGTGATACAGAACTTATGATGAGGTTGACAGTGATTGTGTCTTCAAACTGAGCAGTAAACAGCTCAAGTCCCTGCAGGCCGTCATTTACTGTGGTGCTCGTTTTCTTCCTGCACTGTTATTTTGCTGCATACTGCAGGGTAATTCACAGTGGTAAAGCACTTTTCAACTTGTATGCAATAAAGCAGCATGTTTGCAGGGAAGCAAAAGTGTTTTACGAGCGAGTAGCTTGCATGATGTCTCTAGGGTCTCATCTTGAGACATCACTAAAGGGATGAATGCCAAAATGAAGGGAATTTGGGTCTGAAAACAAGCACGGCTCCTTTGGGTTTCAGGGAAAGTATCTATCGACTGCTGCCTCAGACGACACCAGAGAATGTGAGCAAGAACTTTAGCCAGTACAGCGTGGACCCGACTACACGGTACCCCAACATCAGCCTTCACAAAGTGAGACCCAACCAGGTGGGTTTATGCACATCTGACCGGTCAGAAAACCCAGCTGCAAGTTTTGTCTAGATATTTTTGCTAAATATTTATTTGAGAAATTTAATAGCACTTAAATGAAATATATAGCAAATCTCTCTCTCTCTTTCTCTCTCTCTCTCTCTCTCTCTCTCTCTCTCTCTCTTATACTGTACATTGTCATTTGTAATATCATGATCCCTAAATTCACTTTTAGTATTTAAAATTGATATAGCTTCAATGTTTTTTTTTTATTAAAGGGGTCATATGATGCGATTTCATTTTTTCCTTTCTCTTTGGAGTGTTAC